CGTGCCCAGGCACGCAACCCGGAATATATTTTCACCGGGACTCCAACTTAGACCCCCCAATCCAGATCGCTGAGCCCCAGGAAACGCCGCCGTGCAAGGGACTCCTCCGGCCCCGACACCGTCGCTGTAACCCGCGGCCGCACTCGATCTGACGCTACATGGAACATTGCCTTATCCCCTGATCATGTATAAACAGCTACAGATATTATAATATAATGTGAACCGATCCAGGGATACCGTGATGGCCCAGTTTCTCCGTGACCCTGAGGTGCTCAGAGCCGATATTATCGCTATTCAGGAGCCCTAGAGAAACCCTTACTCTAATATGATATACCACCCGGTATACGGAAGTCACCAGCCCTACCTAACCGCCGATAACACCGGCGACTGAAGAGCCTGTGTAGCCCTTTATATTTTAAGAAAGACTAACCTTAGAATATGGAAACACGCGGTATACTCCGCGGACTGCCAGGAGCTCGAGCACTGCTGAAGGAGCGCGAATCATCAGGTGGAACTTCTAAGAGCAACTAGAAGAACAGACAACGTGCTACATAAATCAATCACTATACTTAGTTGAGCACCATACATATGGTTTGTAAAGTTTTTGCACTGAAGGAAAGCAAACCATATTCTGTATGTAGGGGTTCTACTTTGAGCCTTCCGAGGCTTAAGATAAGCTATTTGAGTAATCTAATTGGGTCAACATGGATTTTCAATTGGTTTATACTCTGATTAGGTTCTATTGACTTTCATCCTGTTTTTCTCGGAATCAAATGAGTAATTTAGACAAGTAGTTATAAGAAAGGTTGGCTCAGGTGCGCCTATAGCATAAGTAAAGGAATTATAGATATACTTCGGTGTCGGTAAGCTTTTTCGAGGACAATTTTGGTAACTCCGTATAATATTTTTTACGTATGATCAGTCCGCACTTGCGCCTTTCCATTCATTCCAAGTCTACCCGTTTGTTTCCTTGGGAAAGGCACCCTCACATAAAGTAAGAATATTGGGTCCTACTGACGACATGACTATACGTCGAATGGTGGATCAAGAAAAGGGTTTAGGAATGAAAGCCACCATGTTGAGCCATCTGACGCTTTTGGAAGGTTGCATAGGATATGACGTTTCGAATCTAAAGTTGGCCCGGCGAGTTCCCCGAATCCGGCCCGAATCCGCGTGGATCGGGTTCGGACTGAAACAAGTGCGGTGAAATACCTAGGACGAGCGTAATAACGACTAATTCTTTTACCATGGTAGGTGTCGTTGTTGTCCTGAATAAAGTCCAAATATTTTTTAATCGGCCAGTTCTCTCGCCGGATCTGGGTTTTCCGCTTATGCCCCATAAAATATACTCTTTAATGGTACGGGATCCCTCCACGCTTCAGGAGTAAAGTTCCAAGCGCCATGGAGCCAACAGCCGATTTGCCGATGGGTTTAGTCCTTCCCGCACTTCAGGGTACTGCCGATGCTATCAGCCTCGACGTTGATATGGCTTTGCGCTGAGGCGTCATTAAAGAATCAAGACCTTGTGACGTGTGATAATAATACTATTTTGCCACAGCAGTAAAGCCAGCTGCCTCGTTCGAAGCCGGAAATTATTTGGCGCCTGAGTCCCTTAACTGCTCCAGTGTAGCTCGCCAGAAAAGATCTTTCAAGGCCATACTCTATTTGAACGGCCCTTGCCCACAGAGTGACAATAAGAATTGACATATTGATGACATCCCCCATCCTATAAAATCTCGAAAATATTAAATTTCTTGCTGTTCCATTTCAGCACCAAGTTTAACCAACTAACACTGGGGCGCACCGTACCATGGAGAGGTTACCATTGTTAAGGTAAGCGGGGCAGGGAGGGCGCAAGCAATTCAGTATGAACGCGGCGGCGCATAGAAAGTAGACCTTTGTTTCTCAAGGATCTGCCAAATGGAAAGTTTACTTTGTTAAAGTTCGCTTAATACATCTTTCACTCTCTCTAAGAAAGTGCTTCTGCTTCACTGGTGTGGGGATTAATTCTCGTCCTATAATTTACACGGTACTCGACCACTATTCACTTGTCAAAATTACACTACAGATATCCTCCCGGTTCTCCGTGGCAATCGGACGAAAAAGGAAGAGTTTCTTAATCTGAGAGTATTAGCCTATAGCTTACTATGACGCCTCCATAGAGTTACAGTACCCTCTAATCTGCTGCAATACTAGTGTATGATGCGAGGATGACGATATAAGTCTAACAAAAAGAATGGAAATAGAGAGTGTTGTCATCATAGTAAGTCTGGCCTTTTTACAAGGTAGTATTTCTATAGGGAAGAGCACATATACGTGTAAGAATTACATATTAGAATGCAGATGTAATACTTTACTAGTGGCAGTTTCATTATATAAGTGACCCTATGGGATGCTTGATCGAACATTATCCCTTCTCCTAAACACCTTCAATTTACTTTCAAAGCCATCTTGACAAGGCAGCTTCTATTACCACTACTTTTGCAAAGCAGAATTGCAATAATGGTTCAAATCCAGTTTAACAGTAACCCTGTTACCGCATCTTTAGCGGAAGATGCCACGGCTATTATTATTGAGCTTCACAACGAGGATCCCATCGAAATTCCAAACGGACAGAAAAAGATTGTCGATGGCATATCCACCAGATGCAAGATAAAGAAGGGTGACGACATTGAGCCTTACCATGTATTTAAGGGATACGAATTTCCTGACAGTGATAATGTCACTACAAGTGGTATGTTTATTTAGATAACCCATCTCTGTTCTCCCTATTGTTGTTATATTACTTCTTGCTAAAGCACTTTCTAAAGGGCCAACCGCCCCTGGTGAGGTTGAGGCCAAGGACCGTGCAGGTACAGGTGGATCTTGGAAGTTTCAGGGACTTCTTTAAGCCACTATTTGCTTTTGAAGATATTGAATTGTTTTCTATTGCTTAGTTTCGTTGTGCGATACGGGGAAGAGCTCGTACTCACTTGCTCCCTCAATTGTATTTACTAATTATTAAAGTTAATGTTGGAAGTATTTAAGCTCATTGTCAGATTTCTAGCGTAATTGCACTTTTAGGCCAATATTTAACATATTTGGTCTCGCCTAGTGATTACCAACGAAATTCCAAGTAGCACTATGTCTACTAGAAGTACCATCCCTTCCACCTACCAGAAAGCCCAGAACTGTGCTGCCGTCTCCTGGTCTCCTGTCCTGTCTACCGTAGCGATCCCTAGGGCCTGAGATAGGTAGTGTCAAAACCTAGGATCTGTCTAAGGTGCGCTGATTGCTACCGTAGATAAGTTCAAGCACTGGTGGTCAACCCGATTGATCCTGAGAATGGGTACTATTTATCCCGAGAGCTCCACAGCTCTTGAGAATGCAACTGGTGTACCGGTGAACCTATCCGAGGTTCCAATGGACTAAGGTAATGATCGAAAGATCCCAATGCAGTGAAAATAGAAGTAGAGCCAGGTCGTTACGTATACCTTCCTGTGGTAGAGTGGTGGACGAATCTAATAGCAGTAATAACACTATGGTTATGAAAGACGACGTCGCCGGTGGGTGGTCGGGATCCCCTACTAATAGGTAGGAAGATGGTGATCAATACCTGCCGTCCTTCCACAAATAACATTCTACCACCAAGTACGCGCCTTATAAGCCTACATGACAATAGCACCCCTATCTCCCTGAGAATCTACATCAAATATATATATATCCTAGCTATAGAATGTTGGCGAAGTCGGAGTTAAGCTATTAATATCCTTAGCCCTAAGTTTTAAACACTATTCGGACAATAAGACACGTGCATTGTATTAACCGATCTCAATTTTCTAAATACAAAAGAATAGTCCCTGCATTCGCATTGTAACATGGGAAAAACCTAAATTCGAAAGGGCAAAAACCCATATCAGGACTTAGAAATGAATGAAGGCATTACCGTCCGGTGCTTGATTGCTGAGGCGGCACTATTGTTGCACTATGATCAAGTGTCACTCTTGGCATCTGAGGTATATCTCCAGTCTTAGGTATGCTTTCATGAATGGCATTCGCAAATGCTCTCTTAACTGCTGCTGGTCCAACCGTCACATCGGTGCGAAAGTTGTATGTAAATATGTTGCCTGTTTCGGTACTGGGTTTGATCAGCGTGATTTTATCAGCCCCAGTTTCCTGCACTGTGTTGATTGCCTGCTTCATGATATCATGAACTTCATCCGTACTTCCTGTCCATTTTGCAGACACCGTGGCTGTGTTATATGGCTTGGAGTCATCAATATCACGTGCGGCCTTCGGCGCCCGGCTTTTCTTTTTTTCAGCCCAAAGTGCTGGAAAGTCCGGACTTTGTTGCACATACAGTCGACATTTTGAATTCCACACATTGTTGGAGGAGCTATTCATGGGGATCGGAAGATAGACTTGATATCCTTGTATTATCAAATCGTCACTCTTAACTTTTCCGATGTCAGAATAGTTGATGGGGTCCGAGTCAAGATCTCCTAGATCTGCTGGGGAAAACATTTGATTCCCAAGGGATTGGCCAACATCAGCACCACCTATGACGGTCGGAAGGTCAAGTGTGCAGATATATTTATTAATATCACCAGCAATATCTGGAGATATGATTCCACTGTCGTTCAAACTCGGCTGCGGCCATATACCGTCCAGATCAAAGGGGCCATCTTGTGTCCATCCTGACGGGCGAGGATCCAGATGTTTCTCAAGCTCGTCTGCTTTAACCTCCATTTTCTTATTCGCTCCCCTTAGACCCCGTACTGCTGTTAGAAGAGCGTTCTGGTCTTCGATGATATCCGGCGATTGGTTTTCCTCCAACAGGAAAGGCAGGAAGGCCCCCACAGTATCGAGGATATTGCCGGCATTGTTGATCACAAAACCTGCACCCTGCTCAACTCCCTGAAGAAAGTCATCCCAGAAGCTCATCTTAAGTACTAATCGTAAAGTAAGAAAATCAAATAAATCAAAGGATATGAGGGTAGTAGGACCTAAAACTGTGAAGAGAGTAAGGAACAGAACACACTTACTAACACTGCTGACCATCTAGGCCAAAGTATTAACATTTTATAGGCCAAGCCCGTCTCTCATGATGTCACTCTCTAGAAAGGAGCGTGAAGTAATCCGTCTTTGCAGCGTGCTTGCGAGAATAAACTACTTCTGAAAACAGATGGTTACGTCAAGTATACCACCCCACCTGACCGTTCTAGAACAAGTGTATCCAATGTCTCAGTTTTCTATTCACATTTAATTGAGCCTGGTTTAGGCTCTACAGGTTACACAAGTACGTCATATATTTAGGCAGTTCAGCGTTTTGACGACACTGGCATTTTCAATGTCCATAAAACTACTTATACGGATCTGTGATGATATCATCTAGGCTGGTTATGGTAACCCATATCCTGGTTCTGTATTTACAATCGGATGGTCGGGGGCGATGAACGTCACAAAGTAGAGGACTTGGTTGGGGAAAAAAATGTAATGTAATAAAAGCCAATAGATGCTGCTGGGACATTATGTACCCTGGTTACTATATACAGGTGAGTCATCGAAATATGCAGGAAACCTCGAGTACAAATTAACGAGCAGTTCCAGCCGATCCCTACTCCCCATTCCATGTGTTGTTATATCAAATTCCTTACTATCCTAGGAATCTTACAGTTCAACACTCCAGCAAAATGGCTTTCAAAATAAAAAAGATTTCCGCTACTTCAACTTACAGCACCAGAAATCGTTCGAATCAGTTGAACGGTCAGGGTATTGTCACTATAATTTGGAATCCTGATGCATCTATACCGACTGGTGAAGGATGTGATGGTTCTAGCTGCTGCTGTACATTTCAAATTAATTCCAAGAAAATGCCGCTGAGCCTCTCTGGGTCTTGGAGTGAGATGAAGAATATCACTACTTATAATATCAAAGCCGGAATCGGAAAAATTGAAGACATCCTAACGGCTGATAATATTACATCACTCGGTACCGAGGATTTCGAGATGCCAATGGGTACTCTTACACTAAATATCCCTCCTACGTTTCCAGCGCGGTATGTGGGAGACTGGGTTTGGCAGATATCAGGCCCTGGTAGGTAAACAAGGACAACCCTACCTAGAATGCCTTCTTCTAACCATTCTAGACCAAAAATGGACCTCCTGCACAACAAAAACACTCCTGGAATTCACTTTCGTGAAATTTGGTCCACCCCGGGGTCCCATTCAGCCTGGAAATGCAACAACACCGGCTAGGCCTGATTTTGGGGGTGAATACCCGGTGGATATATTTCGTTTATTTCTCCCCAAATTCCCTCATCACGAGATCAGTCCCCCTGATTATCTCAAGCAAACGATGGATATAATTTGGAACCTGGGCCAAAATACCAATCCAAATATTGCAGCAAGTCGCTTATTCCAGTATGAGACTATTCGTGGGGCACCAGCATATATCGATAGCGGTTATGGTGGAACATTTCAGCTTCGCCGTTTTGTTTCTGGGCTTTTTGACAGCCTTAATTGCTACGACTTAGCGGCCCTTAGCCAGCTTGCTATATGCATCATACAGGACGAGAATGGAGACGAAGTATATGACAGCAAATGGGTAATATGCCATCCAGTCGATCCACAAAATCCCATACCGTATGGTTTCATACCAGATGGCCCCCTAATTGGCTGGCCGCAGTACCCCAACTGTAACTCACCATTTTTCTCACAAAACCGGTTACCACATTATAATGACCCTAACGACCCCAGCCGACAGCGATTTTGGAATCATGCCTGGGTCGAGGTAACTAATTCAGGAAGAAGAACCGTTCTTGACGCGACTCACTGTCTGCAATCTAACCCGAACCCGGCGGCAGGAGAGGATGATCGCAGTACATATCTAAAGAAGAACACAGATCAAACGATGCCGCCTAACCACCCTCCCCAGATAAGGGCATTTTGTACGTGCTCTGTATTAACCCTTTGTGCACATGTATAACTGACCGGCATAGATCAAAATCCTAACGTTTGGGATCCCCCCACATACAATCAAATTGGTGTCACAGACGTCGGCTCTGTTCCAGCTCTATCTCGAGCATACGGGAACCCACCGTCTACTACAGAGTGGGTTCCCACAAGAATAAACAATGCTCCATGCGACCCCTCCTCTATATTAAGGGTTGTGCAGTCTATCTGGCCGACCGCAAATATTGACTCCGCGGATTGGCTGGTGGCTTCTCACGGTTGCCAGGTCCTGACAGCATTTTCTTACATACGGAACACCAATAACCGGCTCTTTGTGGAAATCAACAACCTGGAGACTCGATCCGATGCAAACTCTCAGTACCAAACCCTGAGAGCTAACCTGCAGACTCTCACCGAACCTGGATTGCATCTTCCAGTTACAGATATTGGAGATGAGGCTTTCCGCACACCAAACAACTTAATTTGGAGGCGTAATTTGATGTGTATTCGCATATTCGCAGCACTGCCAGCTTCAGACCCCCAGCGACCAACCGAAATCCCACGTCTAATTCTAGAAACTGCTAAGGCTGTTGATGGCCATTTGGTAGCTTCTGCTGTCTCTCCGGGTCAAGAAGCACGCCCATCTCCAACTCTTAGAATCTCTACCCAGAGAACTTTGGAAATAGGTAGAGGTAGGTTCGATGTGTTACTCGACAATGTCTCGGATATTTCAGATGTTTCTATCGCAGAGATTGAAGATCATACTATTGTTAAGCAGGCTTCGATTGGATCTACATTGGTGGGTCAACATGGCATTATTCGCTTTGTTGCTCTAAAGCTGGGGAAGACAGATGTGAAAATTTGCGTGGCTCATCATCGCAGCCTTGCAATTTCGACAGTCAATATTGAGGTTATTGTTTCGGGTCATATTGAGTGCGCTTAAGTAGCTATACAATCTGACAATTCCTGTAGATTTCTAAGAGATTGTTTTTTTATACCGATATACACGCACAGGAATGTAATGATTATTGGCTTATTCCTACCAGGACTTCTGTAAAGGGACTAAATTCCAAACTAACCTCAGCTAATAGGTAGTCTAGTAAGCAAATTATAACGTATAAGTATCTACTATATCTACTATCTACTAATATTAGATATGTAAACTCTATGATTAATTATTGGGCTCGTCTTAACTAATGATTGGTTAGTGATGCATGTTGACAAGGGCTCCTATCAGCGCATCATTATAGCGGTGAGTTAAGCAATTCGCAAGATAAAAAGAGAGCAATCTAGCCATGGATAGTGTAAATGAAGCTTTGATGTGTTCCCAGCGCTAAAGATTTTACTATGACTTCGTATCACCCACTCAATTTAAGTCCCTCTAGTTCCTTATTTAGAAGACAGGCGTGCTTCCCAAAAGGAACGACAATTGACTCTGAACATATACCATAAAATCAACCTTGGCTTCTAGTATTCAAAGCTTGAACGTAGAGTACGCTGAAGGTTTGGAAATTTCCTGTTTAGTATACTTATTGATGGGAAACATTGCACAACTATTGTTATGCGCCGATATCATTACTCATGCAAGTCCGGCACGAGTCTGAATTGCAAATAGTGAGGGGTGACTGTGCCGCAAAGCGGAACCCATATCTTTATTGATACTGAGTGGAGCTGCTTCTTGTTTTTTACGAGTGAGTTACACATATCCCTGCCTCCAAAGAATTGATAGGTCAGTAGCATATCTCGAAATGAACTGAGTAGTTGTCAGCATCCATTGTTGGGAACGAAACCCTGCTACTGGATCGAAATCAAATTAGTTTCCCTTGTTCTGCATGTACGTGTGACATATCACACAGGTGTGTTGCAGTACAGGCAAGACAACTTATACTTTTATTTCCCCTGTCTTTGAGCTCCTGATCATGCAAAATGGCTTCTCAGTTAGCTGATTTGGGTTTATTTCACCGCGAACCTCTGTGTACCGAAGTATGAATTTTCCAACGTGAACCGATTTCAATTTCCTCGTCTAAGTGCACGATCTGAACATGACTGTCGATACATTTGATCAAGACGTTGGCTATCTGGTGAGTCCAGACATATTACGAAAGATTGACGAACTTCGTGAGAGGAACATCGGTCAGCATGTTCCTCTTTTCTAGGTAGGCCCTTAATGCCTTAAATACACTCTTCTTAATCTCATTATACCATAGCTTGTTGTTGTAGGCGACCAAAGCTCTGGCAAATTGTCTCTATTAGAGAGTCTCACAAACATTCTATTTCCTTATAATTTAGAGCTCTGTACCCACTACGCGACACAAATCATATCCCAGTGAGACTTAGTGCCTTAAGTCGACATCACCATCATTCTAGGCTCTCACGCATCTAACGAGTATAGAAAGCGCTTAGAGAAGTACTATATAGGATTATTAACCCTAGATACCTTCTGTGTTTAGTTCTCTAGGATCCTACAGGATATTAGTACCTCCTAGTAAAATATACTATAATAGCCATAGGTTAATTCTTTTATAGATCAACAATTAAATAGAGAATTTAGACAGACCTTGATTCAAGTAAAGGTAATATTTTTAGTGAAGATATATTAAAAGTTAAAATATATAGGTCTAATAAAGATTATCTAACCCTTATAGATATGCCCGGCATATTTCGTAATCTAATAGAAGAAGTCACCATAAACAACATCATTCTTATTTAAAATATAATAAGAAAGTATATTAAAGATAACTAAACTATATAATCATAAATCTCTCTAGTAACGTGAACCCCGTGACTCAGGAAATCCTAACACTTGCTAAAGACTATAATAAGGTAGGTAAATGGACTTTAGATAGAGTGTGCCAGGGGCCCCGAAAAACCCGCTCCGGGTTTGGAGGGCCAAAACCCGCCCTAAACCGGGAACCTATTTAAAGAAGGGATTGGAATAGATTTCCGGGTCGGATCTAATCTGCTGACCCGAGGTCCCGAATTTTCTAAATATATAATAAATATAATTATTTATTATATATATTAAAATCTCTCTATAGATAGATTTAAACAAGTTTATATAATATAATTTAATAATAGATATATTTATATTTTATAAGATACTCCCTATAACCGTCCCTTGATAATCCTGCGGCTGCTTTCAGCTCTTATCGTCCTATGGTTTTCTTCTTTTCGTGTCCGCTTTCGATAAGGTGCGCTAGACAAGGGCCTGTAACATCATTCTCTGTGGGACACTCTGTCGTATTGATACGGGCGCGGCGTGCTTGAACCATGGCGGCTCTCATTGGTGAGAAAGTCGTCTCTTGGCGAAGGACACTCTAGCTCACTCTGAAGGGTATTACCATCATTGGTCCCGCAGCTGTCAGGTGATATGTCTTGTAAAGCCATCTGCAAACACTGTATGGTAATGTCCTTCACATCTAACGTAGATAGCAGGGTGGAGATCGATTCGCGCTGCCTCTCGTTCTCGAGGAGAACATGTTGAATGTCCCAGGAGCTGCGATTGCTTTCAACTTGTGTGACTGCACGTAGAAGAGACTCGT